AGACACTTTTTAATATAATCAAGTCTCGTTTATTTATTTTTATTGTTGCTCTATTTGCCTTTGAGGTCTTAGTTCTAAATTCTTTACCTAGGCCAATATCTAGAAGAGTTTTTTTTCTAAGTTTTCTGCTAGAATTTTTATGATTTCATGCCTTACACTTAAGTCTTTCGTCCATCTCGAATTAATTTTTGTATATGGTGAGAGATAGGGGTCCTGTTTCATTCTTCTGCATGTGGCTGTCCAGTTTTCCCAGAATAATTTATTAAATAGGGCTTCCTTTCTTTCTCCAGTGTATGTTGTTGTCTGCTTTGTGGGAAGATCAGTCAGTTGTAGGTAGATGATTTTATTTCTGGGTTTTCTATTGTTTTCCATTGGTCTATGCATCTCTTTTCATGCCAGCACCATGCTGTTCTGGTTATTCTAACCTTGTAATATAATTTGGAGTCAGGTAGTGTGATGCCTCCAGTTTTCTTCTTTTTGCTCGGGATGACTTAAGTATTGGGTCTCTTTCTTCATTCCATATGAAGTTTAGTATTTATTTTTCTAATTCTGTGAAAAATGACCTTGGTATTTAATAGGGATTGCATTGAATCTGTAAATTACTTTGTTTGGTATGGACATTTTGAACAATATATTGATTCCACCAATCCATGAGCATGAGATGTTTTCCATTTTTTTGTGTCATCTCTGATTTCTTTCATCTGTGTTTTGTAGTTCTTGTAGAGATCTTTAACCTCTTTGGTTAAGTATATTCCTAGGTTTTTATTTTCTTTGTAGCTGTTTTTAATGGTATTGAGTCTTTGATTTGACTCTCAGCTTCTCTGTTAATAATATGTAGAAAAGCTACTGACCTGGTGTACATTGATTTTCTTCTTCTCCCTCAGGGTTACCTATAATTAGTTCATATATTAGTTCACTCACATAGTCCATGTTTCTCTGAGTGATTATTTATTTCTTCTTTATTCTCCTTTCTGCATCTTTGACTGACTGGGTTGGTTTGAGAGCCTTGTCTTCAAGCTCTGAGATTCTTCTGCCTGGTTTAGCCTGTTGTTGACGTTTTCTGCTCTATTTTGAAATTCCCTAAATGACTCTTTAATTTCTTCAAGTTCTATTGACATATTTTCTTATGTTGTCTAGCTCTTTAGCGACTTTCATTTTTTTTCATTGATGTCTTGAAACATTTTATTGGCTTCTTTTTGTTGATTCTCAACTTTCTTTTCAATTCCATTCATCTTATTTGCCAGCCATATTCTGAATTCCATTTCTAACATTTTGACCATTTCTGTTTGTTGGGATTCATTGCTATAGATCTATTGTTACTGCTTGGGGGAGTCAAACTGGTTTGCTTTTTCTTGTTGCCAGAGTTCTTTTGCTGGTTTCTTCTTATCTGAATTCTCTTCTTTTAGCTCAGGGCTAATAGGCGTGCAGTGCACCTGTTCTGTGCTGAGTACTCTCCTACTTAGTGAGTAGAAGGAGAGGTCCCAAGATGGCGCTTTTTGTGTGCTGCTCTGGAGGACGGACCCTGCAGTGGGAAGGGGCTTGTGCACTGAGAGCCTATAATGCAGCTGTTCTGTTTTGTCCCATTCTCCTGTGATTGTCCCAGTTCAAGCTGGTGCTGGATGATCTTCATGCTGAGTTCTGGGTTGTTCTCAGACCACCATTGGAAGCTCAGGTTGGGAACTGGGCAAAACCCCTCTCCATGGAGTTTGGCATTGTGGGGATTGCTTTGCCCAGGTCTCCCAAAAGAGGTGACAGTGGCAGCTGGGTGAGTCTATCTAGGCAGTGGTCATGGGTGTCTGGACTGTGGGTGTTTGCTCAGAGGGGGTCCAGTTGCGATGGCAGCTTGAGCTGTCGGGTCCCTGGGGGAGTGTTGGACCGTGGTGGGTCGTTCCCACCAGGCAGCCTGAGCAGTCTCGGGTGGGGCCACGAGGCCTGGTGGCAGTGCTGGCGCTGCGAGAGGGGCGCTACTGGGCTGGGCAGCAGTGCTGGAGCCTCTCGCAGGTAGACCCACTGCCTGGAGCTAGGGCAGGAGCGGTGAACGAGGTTGGACTATGGGACAGCAGTGCTGGAACCGCAGAGGTAGGTCTCCACAGAGGAGGATCTGCTCAGGGGTAGGTGGCTACAAGGGGGTTGTGGGCATGGGGCTGCGGAGCTGGGGCTGCTAGGCAGCCTGTGCTCTCCCCCTACACAGGTCCTGCGGAGGCAGTCACCACTAGGGTTCACAGGTGGCGTCTGTGACACCCATTTAGCTCAAATGCCCTGTTGTGGGGGGAGGGTGCTCAGCTCCCAGTCACAGGGCCGGGCAAGAGAGAGTGTCTTTGTCTGCTCTCTTCCTGGTCCAGCGGGGACGATGTGGAAGTGGCTGCAACAAATCCGGGCCCCGTGTAGACCTTGCACCCTGGACCTTCGAGCTCAGAATGATGTCAGTTGCAGTAACCTGGGAATGGAAGCCACCAGGTCCCTACTGTACCTGCTTTCCAGTGCGGTGTCTCTGCACAGACTCCAAGCAGCTCCCTGATCAGTCCGGAGGTCTGTGGTAGTCTTTGGGGCCCCCTCACAGCTCAGGCTGAAGTGCTTCGGGGGGAGCATGGAGCCCCAAGGCTTTTTCCTCGTGTCCCTCCCCATGTGTGGATGCCTTCCCCAGGTACCTTTCTGTCTTGCAGAATGGATCTCCCTATCACCTTGTCCTTCACTCTGAATGTCCCCCCGTCATTCCTCCAGTGATTCACAATGCTCTTTCCAAGAAGGCCTATCTGTAGGTGGACATCCACCTGCAGTTTTCCATCCTCTCCTTGACAGCAGCGTGCACGGGCTGCTTGTAGTCCATCAAGCTCCTGAACCCTAAAGAATTCTTTCTAAAGTGTATTACTTACTTCCAGCTCTCTTAGAGAATTTGTAAAACGTCATTAACTTCTTGATAATGTAAGAGTTGAAGAGTTGACATGTTATGATAGGCTTATAGAAAATAGGAAGTTTAAGGTATTTGCTTCTCTATTAAATCACTGTAGATTTTTTGGTCAGGCGTGGTGGCTCACACCTCTAATCCCAGCACTTTGGGAGGCCAAGGTGGGAGGACCGCTTGAGGCCAGGAGTTTGATACCAGCCTGGGCAGCACAGCAAGACCCCATCCATTAAAAAAAAAATGTGGGTTTTTGAATTTGAATTTTTGTTTTTCAGAGTGATCATTTATAAACAGGAAGAAACTGTTATGCCTCTGGCAGATTTCTTTTATAACTTCTCTATACCTGTATTTTGTACTGAACTTTTTTATAATTAAGAAGAATTTTAAGTAACTGGTTTATATTTCAATGGTATTTCTTTTGCAGAGAGTAGATTAATGGTAAATCTGGATATTCCTCTAGGAGATCCTTTGCAGCCAACAAGGGTAAAGGACCCAGAAACCAGAGAGATTATTCTCATGGGTAAGATCAGGGATGATATTGAAAATACTTAATTAAACTACTAGTAAGAACAAACTGCCTGCTGGATGATCAGCTTATCTACTTTCTCTTTCTCTCCTGAACTCTTTCAGTGCTAAAGTCCAGTAGAGGATCTAGTTCCATTAAGCAGTCTATGTGAGGACAGGTGGGGGGAGTTTTGATGGCAGACAACCTTTAGGGGATGTATAGTACCATGCATTTGTCCGCTAGGGTACAAGCGCTATCATCCGGAGTGTTGCCTCTCCCAAAAGGGTCTAGGCCTTCTTTGACCAGGAAGACACATAGGGACAGGGGCTGTTGATGGGGAATTGTAGCAAGTTGGCTGACAAACCCAAGCGTACACTCTGTGGGGCCAGGCAGGGATTGTGAGCAGGGGACAGACAACCTTCTGGGCCTGTGGATGCCAATAATGGTACTTGGGACATGAAACCTTGGTGAGGATGACTAGCAAGGGCATCAATCAGCCATACAAATGCCAGCTTTAACCTTAAGGCTGACAACAAGGTCCTTGAAACCTCTAAGTATATTAGAATATGCATTAAGTATTTAGTCTCTGGAAAGCTATGGAAGGTCCCAAGAGATGGACTATAGTAGGGTAGGGGGTTAGGAAATACTCAGCTATTTACCAACCAGGCAATATTCACATATAGGAAATATTTAAATATTTTAACAACTGTTATGATTGTATCACTGAGTACTGAGGATTATTTGTCCTAAGTCAGAATATAATTAAGTCAAACCAGAAAAAGTGGTAATAGTATTCCCACTTAAAATTTTGACTATGAAATTGGTTCCATTTGACTTCTTGATAGCTTAGCCAAGTTATTTCTATATTCAGATTGTTTTTTGGAAACAGAGGTAGAAGTACAGAGAGTTTTGTTTAGTGTCTTAACTAAAAACATTGCTGTACTCTACCAGATTAGAAAAGTTATGAGTGTTTTCAGGAGTTCATTTTTTATCTGTCTCTTATATCCGTGTATTTTTCTGTATCACGTAGTCTGTGAGATCACTTAGATTCCAAAATATCCAGGAAAATATAATCAGAAGCTGGTGAGAGAAGAATGTTAATTATAGATCTGGAAAGATTTGTGAGTAAAAGGGAAATTTTTGGAAGTGAGATAGTAATTTCTGAGTAACAGTTAGAACTCTGGTTTCTCATAGCTTTTACCTGATAAATAAAAGTCTTATTAGTCAAGCAAACAGAAAAAAAATCTGTTGGCATAGTGATGATACATTTGTGGGCTATTTTAATTTTTTTTTTTTTTTGGCTATATAATTGGAGACAAGCTCCTGATCCATTTATTCATTTATTCACTCAACATTCATTTACTTACTCATTTACTCAAATCATGTTTATGCAGTAACTAATATGTGCCAGGGATTGTTTTAGGCACTGGAAATACAGCAGAGAACATGATAAAGTCCCTGTACCTCAGTATGCTTATATTCTTGTGTGCTAAAAACTGAAAATAAGCAGACGAACAAATATATGAGTCATCAGATGGTAATAAGTGCTGTAGATAAAAATAAAACAGGGTAAGGGGTGTCGGGGGGTAGTGCTGGAGGTGGTGTGGGGAGGAGGCTGCTGTTATGTAGGTTGATCCAAGAGCTGCCTCTCTAGCTAAGTGACTGGAGGAGATAAGAAAGCAAAATATGTGGCCCTCCAGGGAAAGAGCATCTCATGCAGAAGGAACAGCAGTTCAAAGGCCCTGTGGCAGGAATGTACTTCATATATTCATGGAGGCCAGTGTGAATAGAGTAACAGAAGGGGAGAGATTAGGAAATGAGAGAACAAATAGAAATTTAGATGATGTAGGACTTTAAATGCCATTGAAAGGAGGTTGGCCTTTCCAGCGAGTGAGATGGGAAGTCATTAGAGTGTTTTGTGCAGAGAAGGGACACGTTTTGACTTTATTTTAAACTTTTTAAAAATAGGAATTCTTTCTTATATTATATTTCAGCTAATCTTATTTTCTGTCTCAGCTGTAGTAGAAATAATAATGTTGCCATTATTAAAAACTAAGACTGACAAAGTGTTTACTTTGTGCCAGACAATGTTTTAAATAGTTTACACACATTAACTCTTCAATATCCACAGCAACTAATTAACATAGATGAATTTCTATTATTCCATTTTACAGAAAAGGAAACTGAGGCAGAGAAAAGGAGCTTAATTAACTTGCCTAGGGTCATGATCCTTATAAGGCAGAGGCCGGATTTGACCTCTGATGTTCTAGCTCCAGAGTCAATGATGTGATCAGTTCTATCTCTTTAAAGCAGATTTATATCTAGAAATAACTCCTTGTTCTACATATGTGTATATAAGTTATATCATTGACCAATGTCATTGCCATTGCTTTATATTAGTATTAATATTTTTACCTAGATCTTGTAAGGCCACGAGATACATACCAATTTTTTGTTGCGCATGGTGAGTTGAAAGTATATAAAACATTGGATACACCCTTATTTTCTACTGGGAAATTGGTATTAGGACCACATCAAGAAAAGGGAAAGCAGCATGTTGGCTCAGATATATTGGTGAGTATATTTCTTCGTATGTTTATAAGTTTCGCTATAGATGCAACTCTGATTTATTGGATTTGATGAGACATTAAATTTTTTTTCCCTCAAGTGAATCCTATTACCACCCTACACAGAGAAATGTTTTTATTTGTTAAATCTATTTAGAGTCACACAACCAACAGTTATTTAAAAGTACCTGTTCTATGCATAACACTGTAGCCTTGAGGTCCAGAAGTTTAGGGAATGATCTTTACTTAAAAGAATCTGAAAATATAGATTTGCAAACAAATCATTAGAATTTTAGTGCCAGCAACAGTGCAAATCCTTTCCATGCTTTGAGTTTCTCTGACTCCTGCTTCATTGCTTCTCTGCTTCCAGCAATCAAAAGTTCTCTATTTTTAAGGGCTCATACAATTAGATTGGGCCCACCTACGTTATCAAGGATAATTTCCTTCTCTTGGTTCCCTTTCGCCATGTAACATATTTACAAGTTATGTAGATTAGAGCATAGGCATTTGTAGGGAATTCTTATTCTGCTTACCACATTTTCTTTAAGGTTCTTTGGAGTGGTGTTGTCATGGTTCACTTCGGAATAAGATTTTTATTTTTAATTTTACAGATTTTTTATGTTAACTTTGGTGACCTTTTGTGTACCTTACATGAAACATCTTATATAATAACTACTGGGGATTCATTCTATATTCCTTCAGGTAAGCATAATTAGAGACATTTTATTTTACATAGTTGGACAATATCTATATAGTTGTTCATGGGCACCATGAAAATTGAAGCCACAGAGGTCAAAACGAAGTGTGATATTACTGATGCCAAAGCAGTTTGATACATACTATCCTTTAATTTTATCATTAGATAAGTGCATTAGTGTTTGGGAACATGAAAATTGAACAAGAGTTGTTTATTACTGAACATAAAAATTATTTAGAGGGTATGTTATATTTCAGAGTAGAAGGAAAATTATTTCCCCCATGTTATCTCTGAGAAATTATATACTCAAACAATTTTTAGTGGATTATTTTAAACACACATAACGGGGTGCTTCCTCCAGCTATTGAAGAGCACAGGTCATTGGAAATAGGTATTTTAATCTATTCTAAAAGTTTAGGATACATAAGCCAACAAAACAGGCAAAAATTCCTGCACTCATGGAGCTTGCATTCTAATGGAAGGAGACAATAATTATAGCTATGTTTATATAGTCCTTAGTATGTGCCAGCCAACACTGTTTTGAATACTTTATTAACTTGGTTAATCTTAATATGTATCAATTTCTAATATATAGAAAGTCTCAGTAATAGTACGCAATGTTAATAGACGTGCCATATGTGATGCTTGCT